AATTGATTAGTCGATACAAATTCTATCGACTAGTCGATAAGGGAAGGCAGCCCAGCTCAGTCCCAGCATGAGCCTGGCTCTTTCTACATTTAAACTGCAGAGCCGCAGAGGGGGTAAGTCCCAGACCCGGTGCAAGCCGGGACCCAGCTGGGTTGCCAGCCCTGACCGCTGTGGACAGGGGCTGCTTTGCAGCAGCAGCAGCCTCTGTCCGTGGGGGGTTCCATTGCGGAGCTCTTGGACAAACGGACTCACAGACGACAGATGAACAGACTGATAGAGGCAGCAGCACGGGGGCGGGGCGGGTGGCACCATGGAGATGGTGCTGGGGGGAACCAGCTTTTAAGCCGGCTCTCCCAGCCTTGGCTCCTATTCCCCGCCCTCCCCCCTTTGCTGCCTCTGATGCAGAGTAATTCGATTGGCTAGGCTTATCGGTTAGTCGACTAGCCGACTACTCACTTCCATCCCTAATCTTCAGGAGAGTTGCTCCAAATTTGCACGGGGGAAAGCAATATCAGCATCTAGTGTTTAATTGTGAGAGTTATTTATTGACAGCCCTGAATAACCTGACGCCCTGAGCGATGGCCCTTTGCTTGCCTTCTCTAAGGGCTTATTTGGGGGGCTGACGTGTTCTCAAGCTGGCAAGGAACACAGCCGCCTGGAGAGCAGCGGGATACACAGTGTGCTGCCTTTTACCTTTCCGGCCAAGTACAGCATGTGCGTGTCAGCGTCGTAGAACGGAAACAAGAGCCCCGACAGCCCATCGATCTCCTCCTCGACGAGGGGCATGGCCAGGTCTTCCTGCAGAAAGGGAAAGGCGCCGTAGGAACCAGCCGGGGCGAGGGGCGGCATGGGACACACAAGGGAAACCCAGGAAGGGGAGACGGGTGCAGCCAGGGCAGAGGCCGGCTCTGTCCCCGGAAAGCTGAAGCAAACCCACGGTCCCAAAGAGCGCCATGCGATTGCAGAGTCCTGCCAGCCTGAGGCGGGAGAGACCCCGCGGGCACAGACTACGGAGGCTGTCCACTGGCGGTCACCTCAGCATGTCACCCTGGAGGGCTGAGGGGGCACTCGGGCTCCCAGTGTAAGGCCAGTAAATCGGGGGTCCCG